TGCTGCTGCTGCTGCTGCTGCTGCTGCTGCTGCTGCTGCTGCTGCTGCTGCTGCTGCTGCTGCTGCTGCTGCTGCTGCTGCTGCTGCTGCTGCTGCTGCTGCTGCTGCTGCTGCTGCTGCTGCTGCTGCTGCTGCTGCTGCTGCTGCTGCTGCTGCTGCTGCTGCTGCTGCTGCTGCTGCTGCTGCTGCTGCTGCTGCTGCTGCTGCTGCTGCTGCTGCTGCTGCTGCTGCTGCTGCTGCTGCTGCTGCTGCTGCTGCTGCTGCTGCTGCTGCTGCTGCTGCTGCAGTTGCTGCTGGGAAGGCGGCTCCTGCCTTTCCTCTGGGCTCCTGCTGCCCCCTGGGTCCTTGGGTGCTGGTGACGGAGCTGGGAGACCACATCGGTTTGGGTCGGAGAAAGACTTGCCCTCCCTCTCTTTGTCCAAGGATCTGAAGAGCAGCTATAAGTAGTGTTGTCAGCGCTGTTTCTAATGCGCAAGAAGTTGTAACCAGCACTGCTTGAGCATCTGCTCTGCGCCAGGCCCTGTGCTGAGCTCGCGACATCCATTACCTTACCTCATCCTCACAGCAGAATGGACGGCAGGGACTGTTGCTCTCTCTCCCTGAAGATGCAGGGAATGAGACGCAAAGAAGCCAAGTAGCCTGCCCAGAGCCACTGTACTAAGGGGCTGCGCCAGAGTCACATCCTTCTGACCCCAAAGTCTGCCACTGCAGAAGTGGTTAGAGAAGCCCCCAGTCCCAGCCCATGCAGGAGCCATCATGGCAGAGCCATGTCTTTGTGGCCCAAAGGGAAAAGTTCAGTCCCTAGCCACTGCCCCTCTGAGCCCACCAGCCTGGCCTGCTCTGGCCACCTCAGCACCTCCCTCCTACCAGCCCCTTGTGTGCCCCCTTCTGTCATGAACTTTCAGTCTGCAGAGGTGCCAGGAGACAGAACCTGGAGACTCCTGGCTCACTAACCGTGCCCTCACCCCAACTTGATGGCTCCTAGAAAACGTCTCTGGTCCCTCCCTGGGCTCTGCACATTCTTTTGTCAGATGCTCCTGAGCCCTTGTGGTATAGTCCCTGCCCTGGGCCTGTACACAAAGCCCCTCTCCTTCAGGTTGGAACCCAACCCACACCCTTGCCATGTCAGAGCTGGGGGTCCTCTCTCTCTTCTCATGGACGAGAGAGCTCCCCTTGACCCCTGGTCCTGTTCCAGCTGCTAGGAGCCCGGTCCCCATCTCCTGCCTACTCAGCTGGCCCTGCACCTCCCTTGCCCACAGCGTGGCACAGTGGGCAGAACCATGGGGCACAGGCAGCTGGGCACAGCCATCTTGGAAGAGGGTATGCCAGGGTCTGTACCCCCCAAAGAGGACAGGACAGGTCTAAATGAGGAGGCGGCAGCTCAGGGCAGGGGTGGGGGACTGCCCAAAGCCACCAAGCTGGTGGACATTGAGTTGATAAGGCCTCCTACCATGTCACCCTGGACACTACCCATGCCTGCCTTACCCTCTGCCCTTCCTTCCAGATCCCTGTCACCCAGGCCTGCCTCATGGAGGACATCGAGCAGTGGCTGTCCACTGACGTGGTAAGTTGTGTACACCCAGCCCAGAAGCAAAGGCTCAGGCCCACCCCTGGCAGGGGATCCCATTTTTCCCATGAAGAAATGAATGGCCACAGGGCCAGGGCAGAGTTGTGCAGTGCCCAGAAGGGGGCAGGGTGAGCAGATGGTAAGAAGGGCAAGTGCTACTGCCCCCGTCTCTTACCACCACCTGCCTACTCCAGGGCACTGCCTCCTAGAGAAGGGCCTGGGCACTGCTAGCAGCCCTCTGAGCTGCTTCCCAGAGCATGCTCCCAGGGCAAGGTCCCAGTGGGTGCCAGTCCCCTGTGGGGAAGACGGAAAGGGCTAGGAAGTGTAACTGGGGAACTACAACAGCACCAAGCTCTGTATCCACAAGAGCTCATGGAGACCTCCAGCCACTCAGAGGGAAGCACCATCACCCCATTTTACAGAAGACATAGGCAGCTGCAGGGAATGCCAGACCAAGGACAATCAGCTGCCCTTCTCTAAAGGGAAGTGCCCAGAAAGAGGCAGGTGGGTGCCAGGAGATGGAGGTCCCTAGTCATGCTGCCCCCTAGGTATTGAAGGGGCAGGAGTCAGACTGGCCCCTCCATACAGGGCCCTTCCAGGCCCAGAGGCTGCCTCCTGCAGTCTGCAAGGTCAGGACAGGGGCAAGAACTTGGACCCTTCCATCTGGTGCAGAATCCCCAGCCCCTCCCAGTCCCCAGCTTTAGCATGAATGACCCTCAGACCTGTGGTGTCAGCATTTCCACATGGGACACTCCAGACACTGGGAAGAAAGAAGTGAGTGTTCATCCAGGACCCGCTGGGCACACAGCTTGGTGTGCTGTGTGTATTATCCCATCCTAGCTTCCCAGCAACTCTCCCAGTTAGCATCAACATCCCCATGTTACCAAAGAAAACACCAAGGCTCAGGGAAGCGGGTAACGCCCAAGGCCCTGCGGCTCAGGAAGGGGTAGAGCCAGGGTCCTGGTCTCAAGCAGCTGGGGGCAGAGCTAGAGCTTGGAACCAACACTCTGGTTCAGCAGGGCCCAAGCCATTACGCTACCCCACCCCACCATGAAGTATAGAGAGCAGAGATGGACTGTGCATTGCTCCCAGGTGCCTGGCTAACCTCGGCCTCCTTTCTTTCTGCTTTCTCAGGGCAAAGATGCAGAAGAGCCTAAGGGTGTCACCAGCGAAGGTAGTAGTCCCCAGCCCGTGCCCACCCACCCCTTCCCTGGGCTCTGGGCCTCAGAGCCCACCCCCACCCTCTCTCTCCTTCCTCTAGAATTTGATAAGTTCCTGGAAGAACGGGCCAAAGCAGCCGATCGACTGCCCAACCTCTCCAGCCCCTCAGCTGAAAGACCCCCAGGGCCCTTCGCTGGCACAGCCCCTCGGAAGAAGATGAAGGAGAAAGATGAGGACATGCTGTTTGCCTTGTGAGGGCAGGATCAGTCTGCCAGCAGCCCAGGCCTCCGCTGCTGCACCCCTGGCCTGGGGCCTCTCTCCCTCCTTTGGTGTTAAAGCTGCTTTGGGGGTGGCGTGTTACCCTCTTCTCTCCTCCCTGAGGATGGAGCTGACCTGTGCTGCGGCTGGGCTGTGCTGGCTGGGGGGATGGGGCAGCAGCGGGATGCATTGGAAGAATAGGTCAGCTCTTCAGTGGGATCCTGGCTGCTCCTGCCTCCTTCCCCACCCCCACCGGCCACTGCAACTTTGTTGAGAAGTGGGAGGCCCAGGACAGACAGGCTGGCTGCTTGGTTGACCGATGTGCCGCTCTCCTTGCCCTGGCTGATCGCCACCCTGGACCTGTCCCTAGAGGAGCCCTTCAGCTCCCACACTGCCAGTTGAGGCCTGGCGGGAGGCTGGTGACTGTGGAAGCTCCGTCACTGCCTCTCGTCACTACCCTCCCCAGCCCCTGCCTCCTGGAGCCTGAAGGCTTTGGTTAGCTTTTGAGGGCAGGGTAGGCTCACTACCCTCCCCAGCCCCTGCCTCCTGGAGCCTGAAGGCTTTGGTTAGCTTTTGAGGGCAGGGTAGGCTCTGCTGAGCTGCACACTGTCCAGGTACGAAGCTGCACAGGGTGGGGTGAGGCCTCAGGACGCCTGGGCCCAGCTTTCCCTCCACTGCCTTTTCTTTCATTCTGCCCCTCCTGGCAGGGCTCTGCCAGCTCTGGGGCCCCTGTTATTGATCCTCTTGTACTGAGAGAGGTGCCTTTTGTATCCCCAATTAAAGGTAGAAAACCCCCGCTAGCAGTGCTCTTCGGTCTCCTGGTGGGAAGTGACTTGTCGGCCTCACAGAGCCAGGGACTACTTTGGGCTGGGGGGCTGGTGGCCGTCCGAGAGGTGGGCATCTGCAGATGATGCAGACAAAGCTCAGACGCCGAGCCACCCCTGTGCACCTCAGCTCCACCAAGTACCGCCTGCACCTTCCCACTGCTGTCCCCCTCGGGCCACCCGAGTGCTGTCCTGCACCTTCCCTCTGCTGTCTCCCTCGGGCCAGCTCCTGCCCTGCAGTATGGCACATTGATCACAAGGTCGGGACCATGTGGAGGGTGTTGGCGTGTTGCATAAACAGGCCACAGGGAGGAGCCCGGCCATCCCGTCTGAGGCCCAGGTGCCAGGTAGGCTGGTTTATGGAATTGTCACCACATCCTCATTCTGCGGATTCTGAGACTGTGACTCAGTGGAGAATGTGAGCTGCCCCTGTTCAGAGAACAGGAGACAGATGCGGTCGTTTGTCAGGTGCTGGGCACTTCCTCATGCATAAGCGCATTGTCTCCATTTCTCAGATGACAACACTGAGCTCAGTTTGGATGACTTGGCACACAGCTCAAGGCGCTGGGCCACAGGGCAGGTGCAGGGGTCAGTTCTTACTTCACTCCATGGCAGCTCAAGGGCACCAGGCCTTGGGGTATACCTTTTCCAGTCTGGAACCCCCACCCCAGGCTCCCCAGGAATCACTGTAGGAGGCATGTTGGAGCCTCCAGGCCCAGCCCTCAGTGGTGGGAGGGAAGGGTGCTGGCGTGGGGCTGGAGCAGCTGACCTGCCTGAGAAGTCAGCCAGGAGGAAAGCAGAAGTCGGAACACCCAGGTCCTCAGGAGCCAGTGGGCAGGCAGCACCTATGTTCTGAGGTGTGGTCTAGAGCTGGGCACATGGTAGACCAAGCCTACCCCAGTCCTCCAGCTAGAGTGGGGGCAAGGACGGCAGCTTGGGAACAGGCACAATGGGACCCAAGTCTTGTCCCATCCCTATTATTAGCCTATTTACATGTGAGGAAACTGAGGCACAGAAAGATTAAGGAGGAGGGAGGCATGCTGCCCTCAGGCAGCTCATGGTCTAGGCGGCCTACCCCAGTCCTCCAGCTAGAGTTGGGGCAAGGACGGCAGCTTGGGAACAGGCACAATGGGACCCAAGTCTTGTCCCATCCCTATTATTAGCCCATTTACATGTGAGGAAACCGAGGCACAGAAAGATTAAGGAGGAGGGAGGCATGCTGCCCTCAGGCAGCTCATGGTCTAGGCCAGGCTTCAGAGCTTGCCATGAGCCAGGCCTCCCTCCCCACCCACATTCAGGGCATTTTTGAGCTCCTGCTGTGGGCCGCACCAGGCCTGGCCTTTTCCACACCTCACAACAGCCCGAGGGGTTGGTAGTTTGACCACCTCTTACAGGTGGGGAAACAGGCTCGGGGAAGCAGGGGCTTGCCTAGTCATAGTAAGTGATGGGAGAGTGGGGGCCACCATCCCCTCCTCACTTGCCCGCTACCTGCCTCCCTGAGTCTCTCCCCTGCAACTGGGGACTCTTTATGGGCATTGTGATTTTACAAGGATCAAAGCTAAGGCCTCCTCTCCCCCACGTCAGCCAGAAAGCCCGGGAAACTTTCCGTGGATGGCTCCAGGGGCTCAGGGCCCTGCTAACAGCTAAAATTGCCGAATTCTTTCCTCTGTACAGTCTTCCCCAAGTGCAGCTGCACACCAGGCACGGTGCTAAGTGCTGGGGATACAGAGGTGGCCTGTTGTTTCCTGCTTTGAAATGAAGAAAAGTTGTAGAGGTCAGGGAGGCCTCTGTGAGGATGGCCTGAGGCTGCAGAGGCCAGGTGCGGCCGGGCGGCAGAGAGCCTTGAATGCCAGGCAGGAAGGGTGCCCTACAGAGGTCTCAGCTTCCACTGGCTGAGACAGCACGGGGTTCCTTCAGGGCCCCTCCAGAGAGAAGGCTGGGACTGGGCAGTGGGTGAGGGAGGCGCTGGCAGGAGGCCATTAGCGCAGCCGGGCTGGGCTTCCCAGCTGCAGACTCTGTGTCTGAGGCTGCAGGATCGGGGGGAGCGCTTCACAGTGGCAGGAAGTCAGGGCCCCACGAAAATGAGGACCAGCTGCCTGGCGAGGGGAGCTTTGGGCAGCAGTGGGGCGTCCACCTGGTGCCGAGGGGCAGGATTAAGGAGGTGCCAGCGGCTCCTGCTGAGCCCAGCTGCATCGGAAGAGGGCACTGGGCCAAGGACATGGGAGGAGGGGTTGAGTGGAGCTGGGGGCCCAGTTGGCAGGGGTCACCTGGGAGGCAGCGCTGACCAGAACTGCCTGGAGGCCTCTTGACAGAGCCCCCGCCCCCTCTGCTCCCTCCCAACCTGGGCCACACTGACCCCTCCACCCCTGCCCCACTGTCAGCATCCAACTCCATGACAGGGGAACAACCTTTCCAATTGGCATAAACCAGGAAATCCTAGCAGGGCAGCCACTTCTGAGCTGTGTGGCCTTAGGCAAATTACTTAATCTCTCTGTGCCTCAGTTTCCTCACTTATAAAATGGACTAATAACAATCATTCCCTCATAGGGTTGTTGTGAGGGTTGACTGAACCAACAAGTAGCACAGCACCTGCCACATAGAAAATGCTCCATACGTATTGTTTTTGTTGTCATGGATGATACCCCCTCCGTTCCAGAATGCCTCTGCTTCAGACACCCTTCTCAGAGCACTGCCCCTCTGAGCCCTGGGTAATTTCAGAGACCCCTAACTCAGCTTCTGGTATTCCTTCCCAGCTCTCAAGTATGGGCTCTGCCTCCAGGACAACCCTGTCCCTACTCCCCAGCTGGCACAGAACCAGAGCACTGTGCCTGTCCCTCCTCCTGGACTGGGCTACTGCCCCTAAGGGGGGGCCATGGCTACCTTGGTCCCAGCAATGGGAGCGAGGTGGGGTCCCACCCGGAGGTCCTGGATTGGGCTTTGCTGACACGCAGTGGAAACCCCTGCCCTCTCCCAGGTGGCTGGAGGTATGTCCAGCTCTGGAAGGCAGCTCTAGCCTCAGCTCAGGGTCAGTGTCTCACATCAACCACGAGATGGCAGCAGTGCTGCATATACCGTGCAGGGGTGCCCCGGAGGAGTCCGCCGCCAGGTCGGCCCCCCTCCCCTAGCTGACACAGAGGGGCAGGTAGCACTGCTCCTCCCTGCCCATGCAAACCCCTTTCCCATGACAGAGGCATGGTGTTAAGAGGCTGAGAGCTGGGGATCTGGCCTCAACCCGCTCTGCTATGTGACTGGACAAGGGATGTAATCTCTGGAAGCTTCAGATCTTCTTATATCTCCTGACTCACAGGGGTGTAGGGAGGATTCAGTGAGAGGAGCTGGGGGCCCAGCCACGGGCACTCTGGGGGGACAAAAGCGAGCCCCGTGCCCTCTGTGCTCGCTGCAGATCCCTGGCTATGCTCAGCAATGGGTTCCTTGCTCCCACTCCTTCTCAGTGACACTCGCTCAGATCGGGGTGCACTGCTGTTTCTGGCCATATATGCAGAAAATCATGAGCTCACGCCAGCGACTCCAGTTACAGTCCAACACCACACACTCCTCGTTTCCCGCTTTCCGTATTTGCAGGTCTTCTCCAGCCATGAGAAACCTGGTTCCCATGGTCTTTCCTTTATTAGTGTATCTGCTCAACCCCATCGGTAACCACTCTCGGCTGCTACCACTGCGCTGCCCCTGCTGTCTCTTGCCTCTCCCACATCCCCCATGGACCACCTCAGCCCCGCTTAGACCCCTCCTGGCCCAGCTCCACTCCACTGCACCCCACCCCACCCCCACCTCGAGGAGACGCCAGCCTTCCTGGGCCCATCTCATGGCTGTGGGACAGGAAGGGAAGAGGAAGAAAAAGAAACAAGAGGTTTAATTTTAAGCAGATGGTCAGAGTGAGCCTCTATGAAGTGATGTGTGGGCCCCGCTATCCCCACAAACCATCCAAACGTTTGTGCAGTTCTGGTATTTACACCTCCAAACTACCCCTCCGTACCCCTTCATTAGAAAGCACCAGAGAAATCCTTGGTCAGCGTGCTCATCTGCTAGGGCTGCAGTAACAAAGCCCGCGACTGGAGGGCTTGGACAGCAGGAATTTCTTCTCTCATAGTTCTGGAGACTGGAAGTCCGAGGTCAAGGTGTGTCAGGGTTGGTTTCTTCTGAGGCCTCTCTCCTTGGCCACCTTCTCGCTGTGTCCTCATTTGGTCATCCCCCCGTGTGTGTCTGTGTCCTTATCTCCTCTTCTTATAAGGGCACCAGCTATATTGGATAGGGCCCAGACTATTTTACCACCTTATTTTACCCGCCTCATTTTACCTTAAATACCTCTTCCAAGGCCCTGTCTCCAAATACAGTCCCATTCTGCGGTACTGGGGGATAAGACTTCCACATAATGAATTTGGGGTTACGACTCAGCCCATGACAGTTAGACATATGGACTCCCTCTGGGTGCTCTGGCTGTTCTCCCAGGCTCTGCAGAGGGGCAGCCACATCTAACACCTACCGTCACTCCTGCCCCTGCCCCTAGCGGGGCTTTGAGGGTGGCTGGTAGGTCCATCCTTGGGCCAGCCTAGCCTTGGGAACCAGAAGGGACTGGCCATGGGGCTGGAGCAGAGCAGAAGGGGGAGAGTAGAGGACGGGGGCTACAGGCGCTGGGAGCCGGGCCCCTGTCCATCATGTTTTAGAGTAGACGGGGGCGGGGTGTGGCGCTGGCAGGGTCCACTTCTCCCCCCCTGGACTGGACTGCAGGAGGCAGCCTCACTGGGCCCCATCTTCTCCCCTTGCCTCTGACTCGGGACGCTTTTGGCCTCTCCTGCCCCTGCCGTAGGCTGGACTGCACCCCTATTGGTCCCACAGTCCAGGCTGGCCAACAGAGGGGAGGAGCCCACAGTGACCTCAGCCCCAAATCCCCAGTGGGTCAGAGTCAGGCAGGCAGGGCCCTTGGACATCCTGAGGCCACTGTAATATGTACAGTCAGG